AATTTTGTAGCTGTCAGGATTTTCAATTGCAGGACACACCATAACTCACTCTGTAGAGACAAGAAAAAACACTAAGTGAGCAGTTATATGATGGTTCACAAGGCAATGAGTCATGTGATGCTACCTTGCATGTGTGAGCTCTCTCCCGCTTTTAGTTGCCTAAAATAAATGATGGTTAATTTCTGAATAGCCCTCGTGTGTATGCAGCCCCCATTTAATTTCCCTTGAATTAAGTTTTCCTACATGTTCTCATCAACTTCCATTTTGAATGTAGTAAGTTCAAAATCCTGATTTTGTGGCGCAGGTATAATGACATGGCAGGAAATGAGATACATTCTGTTCCCTTCAGTACCTGCATATACCAGAAGCATCAAAATACACTGATCATAATGATGACATGTGTATGCAAAAAAAAGCCCATGTTTCAGCTCTTAGGCCATTGTCAGGGTTTTCTCTTTATGATAATATGTACATGTGTGTTAACGTGCAGAGTGTAGCATACACTGAGTTTGTGAGCAGGTGCATCTGCCAGCAGTAATGTGTCTGTATCTGTCTGTAGGTACAGAGAGGCTATACAGCTGTTCACATTCCCTGTTGCAGCCTGATAGGGACCTGCTAGCAGTAGTGTGTCTGTATCTGTCTGTAGGTACAGAGAGGCTATACAGCTATTCATGTTCCCTGTTGCAGCCTGATAGGGACCTGCCAGCAGTAGTGTGTCTGTATGTCTGTAGGTACAGAGAGGCTACGAAGGGGGACCCAAAAATAACCAGAAACGACCTGTTGTGCGCGCATGCTTTGTAGTTACGANTGCAGTTTTCCCTAACAGAAAGCAAAATTTCACGCACACTCTTTGTTCCTTCTGGTCGGCCATCTCACTAATCGCCAAAGGGTTGAAACAGGAACGCACACAACAGAGCACCACAGACAAACCACTTAACTCAGACAGACGCCAGCTCACTAACAGTCGCGGGAGACCCCCAGCTAACACCACCTAGCAGCACAACTCGTAACTACAAAGCATGCGCGCGCAACAGGTCGTTTCCGGTTATTTTTGGGTCCCCCCTCATATACAGCTATTCACGTTCCCTGTTGCAGCCTGATAGGGACCTGCCAACCGCAGAGTGTCTGTATCTCTCTGTAGGTACAGAGAGGCTATACAGCTATTCAAGTTCCCTGTTGCAGCAACTTCATCCTCACTGACACAGTGGGGTTCCCATAAATTCATGTATTATTTTAGGGGGTCATGGTATCACATAATTTGAGAGCCCCTTCTCTAGAGATAATGCAGATAATGCAGATAATGCTCCAGACTTCTATCTGGGAAGTGCTCATTTCAGGTCTTAGCCAGGACTCCAGCTATCCTGACTTTCTCATGGTCTTCCTCAGCCCCTCCAGGGAAATGCTGGAATAGTACCTCATTTATTAGTCACTTTCTGCCATCCGATGCTATATAGGCTAGGTACAGAAAGCATGTCATTGAAAAGATTTGGATTGTGGGTAAATGAAGTCTCTAGTGGAAAACGAGAATGTTTGAATAAGCATGTGATCATGTATGACCAATGTATACATGTTCTGAATAGTGATGCAGTGATACAAAATGTAATATAAAAATCTTTTTATTTTCTGTATTATGTTGCGTATCACATATCAAAGGGGCCATGAGGACAACAGTTAATTACAAACCAATATTAAAACGTTTAATATTCAGGTTATTATAAAAGGTTACCCACTCCGTGCAGTGTGACTGATAATTTTATTTTCTTTCCTTTTTAATCTTTTGGCCTGAGAGACCATCTGCAGAAGGATATGTCAATACAAGCGGAAACTACTAGTATTACAATGTGATTGGTCAGTATCAATACATACATACAATATCATTACAATGTCAGCGTGGCACAAATGGCAGGACACTCACGAGTCCTATTTATCAAACAACGGAACCACAAAGTGGCAGACACTCAGCTCTCTTTAAAGAGAGGCAGTATAGTGGACACGAAACAAATTGGTTCTAAATTTAAATATATTCATGCACATCACTGTAGTTGTTAATTGATCGGATTTTATATTGTAATGATATTGTATGTATGTACTGATATTGACCAATCACATTGTAATAGTAGTTTCTGCTTGTATTGATATATCCTTTTGAAGACCGAAACATGTGAAGGATGAAAGATTAAAAAGGAAGGGGGGGGGAAGCATTTATCAGTCACACTGGATGGAGTTGATAACCTTTTAGAATATTGCTAGTGTGACAGACCAGAAATGAAGAGGCGATTGAACTTGGGTAATGCTTGCTACCATTCAGTCCAGAACCTTTTGTCTTCTCGTCTGTTGTCTAAAAACATAAAAATTAGAATATACAGAACTATAATTTTGCCTGTGGTTCTGTATGGGTGTGAAACTCTGTCTCTGACATTAAGGGAGGGACATAGACTGGTGGTGTTTCAGAACAGGGTCTTGAGGAGAATATCGGGACCGAAGAGCGATGAAGTGACAGGAGGTTGGCGAAAACTGCATAATGAGGAGCTTCATAACTTGTACTCTTCTCCAGGTATAATTAGAATGATCAAGTCAAGGAGGATGAGGTGGGAAGGTCATGTAGCACGAATGGGGGAGACAAGGAATGAGTATAGGATATTGGTGGGAAAGCCAGAAGGAAAGAGACCACTGGGAATACCAAGGCGTAGGTGGGTGGACAATATTAAAATGGATCTTAGACAGATAGGATGGGATGGTATAGATTGGATAGATCTGTCTCAGGATAGGGACCTCTGGTTCCATAAAATGCTGGGAAATTCTTGAGTAGCTGGTGAATTGGCGGCTCCTCCAGAAGGGCTCGGCTCCATGAGTAAGTACGTGACAGGCCAGGATGAACCAAATCAAATTCAGGTTATATTTGTCAGCACAACAATTAATTATAAACTGATATTAAAATGTTTAATAATAATAATTCAGCATTGATATAATTCATTAAAAAACCACCTGATGAAGGTCTTGATTGAAACATGTAGTGGGATGAAAGTAAAATAACATGAACATTTTATCTGTTTATAATTAACTGCCATGTTGATGGCCCCTAAGTATACCTTTGTTAGAATAAAAATGTTATTTACCTGTTTCATCTTTTGTTTGCAGTATGGCAGCACATACCCTTTGTGCCATGGCGATGCAGGTTGAGTACCTGACTCATTTGGATGAAAGATTCTGCATTTAAATAAATTTGTTTAGTTTATTCTTGTACATGTTTCTAGTATTTTGTTTGTATGTTCTAAGATTTAAGTCATAAAATATTTACCTCAGATTTTGTTATAAAAAATTATTCTATATTTAATTAAATTTAGTTAATTTTGTTTATTCTTGCAACATGTTCTTAGTATGTCTTTATATTTTCTGAGATTTAAATAATAAAATATTTACCTCAGATTGTGTTGTAACTTCTTTAATGACCAAGGGTTCAAACTTAGCAAAGAATGGAATCCCATCACAATGTCATTAGGGCATTTTGGCATGCATAGGCCAAGAATATCCCAAGCAGGCAAATGCAGGGAAGATGATGAAAAGATGGCACAGTAACTGACAACAGGGGCAACAGTCTCAGTGACATGGTGATAGGTTAGCGTCAGATGGGTGACTACCCAATTTGACTCCAACCTCCTGCTGCATCCTATGCCAAGAGGATGAGTCAGCTATTCCATAGATTGGCATACATCAGTGGTTTGTGGTAATTCACCACATCAACCCTGAAGGTGGAGATCTCTGAAATGTTGGTTTTTAACTCAACACTGAGATGACCAATTGTCCAATAAGATTTTAAAATATTTTTAAGCTGTGAAAGCTTCAAATCTTCCATATTCTGACTGAAGTATTTTACCGTTCCATTCCGAGTGTTTCTTCCTATTTGCTTATGATCAGACCTTTTCAGGCATATATTTTTTGCCTTTTGTAACAGCCTAAAGCAATACAGATGTCTGTTCTAGGTGGTCAAGAGATTATTTTCATAATACCTCTTTATAAATTTGTGTGCATGTGTGTGTCATGAATGAACACACTGCATGTGTAAAAGCTGAGAAGCTCGTATCTCACCGCCACTTTCACTTTGATGTTGTTTAACCATTCTCCTCCCTACTATTCTACCAATTTATTCCTTATAATGTAAGATCATAATAAAGTGTGCTGTAGAGACTGTACTCAGGGAACATTTGATATAATTTATCTCAAATGGATTTTATTAGTGCTAGTTTGTATATAATGCGTGTGTAAAGGTGGTACTGAAGGCTGTGAACGTCTTTTGTCACATTCCTTAGTTGTGTATGGGTGTGTGTGTAATTCACATACATCTTACTTCAGAATCATTTGCTACAATATATTGTACAGAGTGTTTCATAAGTCTGGAACAGTGGTCTCACAGGTAAAAATTAATGAGTGTAAATTCAGGGGACTGTGGTTATCATTCCACTGGTCACTGGTCCACTTGCTGACAGGTCTCCAGCCACAAAGAAACAGTGATGATTTCCCCTTTGTAGCAGTGGAATTATTAGCATCATTCTATGTTCTATCACCGTTTGAGTTTGTCACTCATTTTGAGATAACTAATATTCTTGTAATTACAACTTCTTTATTACAACCGTCACAACACAACAACTAATATCAAGATCAGTGCCTAATTTTGGCTCTGCTACATGTTTTGGCTATTACATGGCTGCATGCATGAAATGAAAATTTCTTGTAATTACTTTATGCAAAACTAAAGTAGCTCTTGCTATATGCCATTTATGATGGCCTTCACAGATTTCAGAAATTATCACTCCTACCCCTGTAGCAGACAAGTTAATGATAAAACTCAGTGTCCCTAATTATGACAGTGTATTTATTTATGCCCCGGTCTAGAAAACCAAGATTAATGGTCATGGGAATCCATTGCACTAACCACGCGACACCCTTTATCCTCAAAAAATTGTTGCAAACTTCGCTGACAAGCAGCAGTCGCTCGGTCAGTATAGTTTGTTTGTGAACTAAAGGCCACAGAGGGATTTATTTATCCCATGATTTACATGGTTTCCAGCCTTCTGTTTAACTTGACAATACCAAACACTTAACCTGTTAAGTGTTTGGTATATATGACCAATAAAGTAACCTACTATTTGGGATTATAAAGTTTTTTCTTTCTTCTAGAACATGTTTGCTGCTCTTCTTAATCTGTTAACAGCTACATATATCTAAGAAATGTGTTTCTTGAATAGTTCGTTGTATACTGTCTTTGTCGGTTCTTCTGTATCTACCTAACAGAAACACTGACTCAAAGCTCCTTTGCTCAGTCCTGTTAAATGAATTAAGCAGCACAAGCACTCTGCATCGTGACAGCCAGCATTCCTCTTGCACTTGAAAGAGAGCTCATATGATCTGGTGACTGCGGTACACTAACTTCTGTCAAATTTGCAGTGTGCTGCAATGACAAACATATTTATAAATTTCCATAGCTTAGAGAGTGTCAGAATATAGCTCACTTGCCTAGTATAACTGAACGAATATAAATTCAATCAGCAGACTAGTATATGAAGGTGAAACACTGACAATAAAGAAGCACTTATTTTTAATAAATAACGAATTAATAGTAATGTTCTAAAAAGCAATTAATTCGTGCTAGAAAAGAGTTGCTGCACTGCAACCTCACTTACAGCAGGATAGAGTTGTGGTAAGAACTAGCTTGACTCTTGGCAGGTATGCTGAAATTCATACCACATTAAATATACAGAGTGGCCAGAAGTCCATTAACCTAAAACAGTATCTTGAATTAATGAGATGCTTAGATTTAAACTGGCCAGTCAATTCAGACATAGGTATCACAGCACTGTCAGTTTCATATTCAACATAGAGGATCTGTGTTTTGAACAATTTTTGTAAATTCTGTAAGTAATAAATAATTTTCTAATGCATTTTAAAGTACATTTTACTAACCAGTTAACTGAATTTTGGGGCAGCCAATAGCTTTGCATTCTCAACATGCTCTAAATTAGGAACAAAACCAGTGATTTACATGATTCATTCTAGTGTCTACCAGCACCTATCAATTTAGGTACACGTTTGGGGTACTAACAACATTCTACTCTCTCAGACTTGAAAATGCATCTTGGTATAAACTGTTCCTATAAAATTTCATAAATATTCTCTCTCTGTGGGGGGGTCTCAAGCGTGGAAACCATCTATGTTTTGTTGTGTGTGTGTGTGTGTGTGTGAGTGTGAGGGGCATCAATTCTTGCGTCATTTCTTTAAACTCTGAGCGAACTTCATCCAAAGACTGGATCTGCAGAGTGGAATGAGTCTCCTGTTTTTCTGGCAATGGCCGAGAACAGTCATATGGAACACATGGCTCTGGGTGCCAGCAAACTATAGTTGAACCATCATCAATTACTCTGATTTGTTCTCCAAAGTTCCATGATGGAGACCCGTCTCAATGACTGAAACGCCTTCCTAACCCGGAGTTATACTTGAGAACCCTCAACGCCACATTAAGAAGCAAATTAATTACTGAAGCACCTTACAGAACAGCTGCTACTAGGTAACCACAGTAACCACGCTGCAACAAAAATATAAGAAAACTGTCATGCTGCCTTGCTTGCAAGTTAACTTCTTCAGTTTCTCCTGAAGTTGCATTGCCCTCCCTTCAATTTGTGCTGCTCCCTTCACTAACATGTCTTTAACTCAGGCTAACAATTTTGAACTACAGACCAATTTCAATCCTGCCCGTATTTTCTAAAATTCTTGAAACGTTAATGTATAACATAGTTGTGTGTTTCTTAAATAAATCCAACTTGCTGTGACTGATGAGTTTAAAAAGATGTCAAAACAGTGGAAATTAACACGATAGTGATGGTGTTCACAAGCTCAACTGATCGAAACAAATTAGATAGACAAGGTCCATATCTGAAAGTGTTAGTGATCCAAAACGTCTGAAGCATGTACATTGAGCTGGGATCATGGGTTGAAATCCCACACAAGGCATGGATGTTTGGTATGTTTTTATTCTGTGTTTAGGTAGAGGCCTTCCGACAAGCTCATCACTCGTGCAAGGAGTCCTACCATCTGTAAAATGATCAAAATGAAAACCTCAACACCATAAGGTATAAGAGGAGTGGATTAAGTAAGTAAGGTGATTGTAGGAGAAAACTGTCAGGTTGGAACTGTTTATGCTGTAATGGGGAAAGCTGTTTGACATTGTACCTGTTCATGAATGATCTATTTCAGTTCTTCGCCAAGTATAATTAAGTGACCATGTCAAGGAGGGTGAGATATTCAAGGCATGTAGGACACGGTGAAGTATTTGGTAGAAAGACTTAAGATCTAGAAATAGTTTGGAGGTTAATATAAACATTAATCTGACGGAAAAGGTATGGAGTCTGGTCTGTAACAGGTCAGGCAATCGGGTTCTTGTGAACAAGCTGAAAGGGGGTCCCATAAAATATTGGGAAATTCTTGAGTACCCAGTACTCCCTTGCCAGTGACATGTGTAGTGTTCTCCAGTTAAGATTTTGTGACATAGCTATTACAGTATATCATGTGCCACCAGTGGCCTTGGGGCTGGGTTGTCATGCATGTGAAGCAGCTGAGCAAGACAGTATTCACAAAAGCAGCAGTTCTGGTTTGTGCATTAATGGTGAAAGGGGACCATTCCTTGTGTAGCCAGTTAGTAATCTCCTACTTAATGCTGTGGCATGCAAATCACTGCTGAGATTTGGAATTGTCCTTCAATTTCATAAATTTATGAGTACTATTGCTTGTGTGATAGAGATAATGTTTCTTGGCAGCCTCACACATTGCCAGAGCTGCAGTAGCAAACCCATATCTGTGCCATTGAGGATGATAATTGTATTTTCTGTTTTGAAAGAGAAACATGACAGCATTCATTGACTGTCACAGTTTGCTTGTTGTGTGAGTTGATAGGATGTAAGATTGGTGTGTGTCCCTTTAACTAGAAATGCAATTCAAGTACTTCATCTTCTGGCTTATTTTAATTTTCTAAATGAGGTTCTTCATACTCTTTGTTACTTTATATAGAAAACACCCAAAAAGTGTTCCCAAGTATACTTTTTGGCAGTAGATATCATTTTTAAGTGATGCAATTCATGGTTTAATACATCTCACAGCTCGGTGATCAAGATGGACCCATTCACTTTATTTCTTGGGTATAGTGATTCTGGAACTTTGCGGCAGAAATCTGCCTGATTCATGCTTGTTTCTTGCTTTGGCTTATCATTAACCCTGAAGTTGGAGCTCGTATATCAGTTGCATTCTGCTGAACTGTGCAGCACTTCATCACAGAAGATGGAACTGTTCGCAGCCACTGATGTGAAAATCTCAAATGCAACACCAATGTTGTTATTATAGCTAACAACTACCCACTGACTGTAGTAGGGCTACAGCTATTGCTTGTCCTGCCCCCTTAAAATTCTGTGGTACAAATTTGGGAAGGTTCCAGAATATAATGAAATTTTAAATATAAAGGTTTTTTAGTAAACTGAATACTTATCTTATACTAGGTTTCATGGTATTTCATCATAGCCTGCTGAAAATTTACCTTTTAGTTAACTGGTTACGTTTAATACCTCATCTACAGTAATTGGTGCAAGAAACATGGAACTGCAATTTAATATCTTATTATTAACAGTATCATGACTAACATTTTTCTTGTATATTTTTTCTTCATAATGGTCTGAAATAAGGAGACGCTTTATTGTCATTGCTTATTATCTTTACTTTAGGATATGCCATTAGGAAGGTGCAAGAAAATTGGGTGGGACTGATATTAAATGGGATAAATCAACTGCTTGTTTATGCTGATGATGTGAATCTCCTGGGATATATGTAACATAAATACCTTAAAGAAAAACACTTTTTTTATTGTACCCTCAAGATTGAGGCAATACGTTTCTCCGAAACATCGGTTAACACCATATCTACACAGCACCGCATCCCATAAGACTGCTTTCTTTATAGTCACTGCCATGAAAATCTAAAATCTTACACAAAAATTTAATTGACACTACTAAGGAGATTGGTCTAGAAATAAACACAAAGCAAACTAAGCATATGTTGACGCATCATCAGGATGCAGGACAAAATCATAACATACAGATTGCTAACAGGTCCTTTGGAAATGTGAAGTTCACGTATTTGGGAATAACAGTAAAGGTAAAGAGGTAAAGCTGTCCCTGTAACAGGCCATGAAGGCCCATAGGGTTGTGAGATGTTGAGGCTGCCACATTATTTAGACAGTCTGCTGACAGATTTTGATGAGGTAGTCAGCCATACATGCCAGCCACATTTAGTCCCAGGAAGATTCCTGGTACTCATTTCTGTTAGAGGCTGAGTTGGCCCCATGGCCATACTGCCACTGGAAGAAATAGGTCAGTTGAAAAATCCAATGACCTCACTGGGAAACGAACCCACGACCTTCTGGCTTGTAGCATAGTGCCTCAACAAACTACACTATCGCGTGCCCCTAGGGAATAGCAGTAACAAATCAGAATTTGCCCCTTCGGAAATTAGAGCAGATTAAGTTCAGGTAATGCCTGTTATCTTTCAGGTCAGAACCATCTGTCTTCTCATTTGCTGTCTAGAAATGTAAAGACTTAAATACACAAAAGCATAACTTTGTCTGTAGTTTTGCATGAGTATGAAACTTGGTCTCTAACATTAAGGGAAGAAAATAGACTGAGGGTGTTTGAAAACAGTGTGCTGAGAAGATTATTTGACCCAAGAGGGATGAAATAGTGGGAGGTTGGAGGGAAAAAGAACTGCATAATGAGGAGCTCCATAACTTATACTTGTCACCAGATATAATTAGAATGATAAGATCAAGGAGTATGGGATGGACAGAGGAGGTGTCACACATGAGAAGAAAAAGGAGTGCATACAGAGCATGAGATGGATAGGGCATGTGTCACACATGAGAAGAAAGAGGAGTGCATACAGAGCATGAGATGGACAGAGCATGCGTCACACATGAGAAGAAAGAGGAGTGCATACAGAGCATGTGTCACACATGAGAAGAAAGAGGAGTGCATACAGGGTTTTGGTAGGAAAACCTGATGGAAAGAGACCACTAGGAATGACCTAGACACAGATGGGAGTCTAATACTAAAGTGGATCATAGAGAAATGGGATGAATAGGTGTAAACTGGATTCACTTAGGTTAGGGACCAGTGGTTGGCTCTTGTGATGACAGTAATGAACCTTTGGGTTCCATAAAATATTTTGAATCTCTTGTATTGATGAGCAACTATTGGCTTCTCAAGAAATGCTCAGCTGTATGGAGTTTATTAGCTTGTCGGCTGTACTGCAGGTCCAAACGTGCAGAAAGAGTTGACATAATTTTTCTTTCTTCCACTGGACTGGCTGAACAATTTCCAGCAGAGTCTCAGTAACTTCCCTGTTAGCAGGCTTTTGTCTTGGAATTTTGATGCTTCTGTTTTATAGTTGCCAAGTAATGATTCATTCCTGATGTTTCCCCAATAAATGACACACAGATGTTTGTCCATTTGGTTATTTTATTGGACTGTTAATTGCTGATATTATTTGATATGGAATAAGAGGGTAGGATGTACATAAATCATGCAACAGGATTATGGGAGCAAGATATCCCAGCTTGTTTTTATTATTATTGCATTATCCTGGAGGCACTGGAGAAAACTGTAGGAAATCTAAGGATGTTTGATCTCAGGCTGAGCTTCAACTGAACTGTATACAGATTTTGAACCATCCAGGAACCATTATTAGTGATGTACTGCCATGTGGTGACATGAAAGGCTTGTAATTTTCAGGCAGCACGTAGCTTTTGTGATACTATGGTTTTGGTCAGGTGCAGAGTTCACACCATGAACACTGATATATATGAAGTCACACATGTTTGTCCATCCATTCACTGGACTTATCATCTCAACTTTCTATATCACATCTGTGTGCAGTTGTATGGAAGTTAGTTAAGAATATTATCTTCTGGGTTGTGATGCTGTTTAGTCCCATGGAAGTTTGCCAGCGTTTCAAAGGAACATGATGCCTCCTGTCTTCAGGGCCAAGGAGTAAGCCAAGCTTGCTTGCTGCTTGGCTTGTTCTTCAACCCTGAAGATGGAGGCCGTATGTCATGCTGAAACATTCGTGAACTTTAATGTTCCATGTGGAATCAGATCCCAGAAGACAGCATAACATTGATGTGGCCATATATTAAAAAACATCAGAAAATTGATGATGTGTATGTGACTTAAAATTTCTTTCGCCTGAACACTTATGTGAATGTCTGCCGTAGTGCCTGCAAAATGGTTTAAATTAAATGTTATGTGGAATTTTGTAGCCAACCCACTCAATCCACGGTCATTTCTTAGTAAGGAATTTAATGCTTTTGGGAGGGCAAGGATTTATCTCAGGGAATGTTGCATGTGGAACCCAAGTGGATTCCGTGTAGGTCAAAGAATTGCACAGATCAGGGCGATGTGAACTGAAGCAGCTGCTGGCAGTTTGGTTCTTAATTGATGGACAAGTGATCATCAGTTCACTGGTATGATGAATAACGATGTCATGCAGTTAGCACACTGCAAAGTTCACTTCTTATAACTGCAACAGCTTATCACACAGGGTTAACTATGCCAAAATACAAGTGTTAGTGGTACAGGTCACAGAAGTACAATTGTGAGATACAGAACTTGTGGAAGCAGAAGTCACAGTCAGAGTGCAATTAACAGTCACAATCATCATCATCATCATCATCATCATCATCATCATCAGTAATTTATCAGACGACAGGTCCAGTCTCTTCCAAAACAATTCCTCCACTTAATGCGATCTAGAGCTCTCTCCTTCAAATGACAGTATCCTCTTCTGTCCCCAAGGTCATCCAGCATCTTCTTACGTCTTCTTCCTCGTCTTCTTGTCACTTCTATCCACCCCTCTATCTTTCCTTCAATAACTTCTTTTAGAAGGCAGTTTCTGCGTAAAACATGACCAATCCAATTAGCCTTCCGTTTTCTTATTTCGTGTAGGATATTCCTCTGCTCACTGACTCTAATTAACACTTCTTCATTTCTCACATAATCGGTCCAACTGATCTTCTCCATCCTTCTCCAACACCACATTTCGAAACTTTCCAGATGTTTCTGATCTACTGCCCTAAGTGTCCATGTTTCAGCCCCATACAGAGCTATGCTCCAAATGTAGCATTTCACTAGTTTCTTCCTCAAATTTAAGTCCAATTTGCTGGTAAAAAGATTCTTCTTCTTGCTAAATGCAGCTTTTGCCATGGCAATCCTGGATTTAATTTCACAAGTACACCTTCCATCATCTGTTAACAAGCTACCCAAATATTTAAAACATTTCACATTCTCCAGTTGTTTTTGGTCTATCTTTATTGTGACTGGGGTTGGTTGTCTCGAAATTTTCATTACTTTTGTTTTCTCCACATTCATTTCCATGCCATAGCACCTTCCAATTTCAATTAGTCTATCAATCATGCCCTGTAGCACAGTTCCTTCCTTAGCCATTAACACAAGGTCATCTGCATATTTCACAGTTTGAATAATTTGCCCCCCTAATTTGAAGTCTCCGAGCCCATCCAGAGCTTCCTTGGTAAGGCATTCACTGTACAAGTTGAACAAAATTGGCGATAAACAGCATCCTTGTCGAACTCCTCTTCCAATCTGCACACTTCTTGTCTCCCCACTGTCCAGTCGTACTCTAACTTTCTGATCCGTGTATAATTTGCTAATCAATCTTCTTTCACGCCAATCGATACCTGTTTCCTTTAGGATCTGCATTAATTTGATCCAATTTACACAGTCAAATGCCTTCTGCCAGTCTATGAAGCAAACAAAGAGTTCTTCATCTATCTCCAAAGTTCGTTCTGCTATAATTCTCATCATCCCAATTGCATCCCTGGTTCTTTTTTCTCTTCTAAATCCAAACTGATCTTCTCCAAGTATATCTTCTATTTTCCTTTCAAAGTCACAAGTATATATGGAAGAAGTTGCAGTGGGAGAAGAACTAGAAGTAGAAGTCGCAGAAGTAATGGAACTCAAACTGTCCACATCACCAACAACACCAATTTAACTTACTTGAAGGGTGAATGCCATTCAGCCCCACAGTGTCGCGGAGGAAGAACTGTGCTTCTGTGGCCCATCTTGGCTATGTTATGACATGACATGACATGCAAACAGTTGGAGCACACTGACAGTGAAATGGACACAGTCTCCACATTCTGTTCCACACAGTTTATATGAGTAATATCTGTGCCAAAAGCAGATGTGAGCTGATTAAATGCTGCGCCTCAGCAAGTCTGACCCTGTATCAATTGTACTGTGCTCACATT